GCCGGGGTTTAAGGGCAAGACAGCGCGGTGGGTGCTTAAGCGCGGGTGCCAGGGACCAAATGGACAACCTGGTTGTGCAGGTGGTGGTGGTGGTAGTGGGGGGGGGGGGGGGGGGGGGGGGGTCCATGTGGATGTGGTGTGGGTGGGCCATGAGAGAGAGCTTTGGTCTCAGGCTGAATATAATCTACAGTATGTTTGCGTTGTGAGTGAGTGAGGTCAGAGATGAGAACATTAGATTGAGTAACACTATTCCTTGTTGGTTCAGTGACCCTGTGCAGCAGTGGAGCTGTGCGTGTTAAATCCCACTTAGGATAATAACCTGGAATAATTAAAAGGAAATCTGGAGTGGAACGGAGCTGGAGGTTCCCAACACTGAGGAGACAGAAATATAACGTTGGGGGCTGAAATACGCAACACTAGACACCCTGATAATACTGATCTGGTATTGTCATTATGGGGAGGCAGCCAACACATCCACAGCAAACCACCGTATGCTTTTAACTTTAATTTAACGTGGGCTGCAGGGAACAGAGCTCACATCAGTGCAAATGAGGAACACATTTTTATTCTGCGGTCAGGCCACATTGGTACACAGGTTTACATGAGCTGGCCAGTACGGAGGACAGTAAGCGCACACACACACACACACACACACACACACACGTTTTTATGAGTTGTGAGAACTTCACTCAGGAGTGATGCAGTCCCTAACTTTAACCATTACTAATGCATGCCTAATATGAACTACCTTATCCTATCCCAGTCCTAATTCTAGAACTAACTAACTATCTTAAAACTCTTTCTTTACCTGAGTGTTATACCAGTGTCCTGTCTCTGAGTATTTAGTTTCATCAAGCAACATTATGAGAAAGGAGACTGAGGAAAGACAGAGGGAGGAGAGGAGACAGGAAAACGCCACAAGATTCCCACACACTCCAACATCACCAACAAACGTTGTCTCTATTACACACACATATATTGCTTTGTCTTTTGTGACACTCAGCTCATTCACAGTCTGAAGATGCACAAGCCAGCAGTGACTTCATCGTGGACATCACCAAAGTCCCAAAAGTTCTTGTAATCAGGGTTGTTGTGCACCACTGATTATTTTTCCTGAATGCACGTGAATGTGACACACTCTATGGAAGTAGATGTAAAACCATCATGATGCAGAAACAGTTACATCAGTGAGAAGGTCAAACAAGGACAAAGTCTTAAACAGCTGTATCACCTACAGAAAGAGTTTCTGCCACGATCAGTAAAAGTGAAGGGAACGAACGCAGCCGGAAAAAGAACAGCATCTCACTTGATTTGTGATGTTAGTAAATAAAATCCTGGAGAGTTTTGGTCTCAACCACCAGTTCCACAGTGTGTTCAAGAGATCATGATGTTTATTTTGTCCTTAAAAACTAGCACAGAAGAGTGTTGACAGTAACGCTGCCGACATTCTTATTTTTCCCTGACCTGTGTTTATACTGGAGAACCCACTGAGGTTATGAACCTCTTTATCAAGGCAGCAGCAAATAGAAAATCATATTACTGTACGTATGTGTCACAGTCAAAAAACACAAAGACTTGTATTCAAACTACAGCCATATTAAATAAATAATGCCTTAATAAATAAACATGTATGAATTAATCTCCCATGTGAACTGCAGTTTTACCACAAATACAGTAAAACACATACAAGTGGATGTCACATCACATACAAACAAAAGTCAATTCTTTTCCCAGAGCTCCTGGACAATCTCCCATGTGAACTGCAGTTTTACCTGTGTCATGTCTGCACAAACATCTGGAGCTTTAGTATCTCTGAATTTAAGACATAGACAGAGTCCTGCACGGAGTACTTCGTTTTACACAGTCACATTACAGGGCTGGGAAGTTCTCAGATACTTTTATGGATTTGTGTACCACAATGTGTATCAAGATCTACTCTGAAGTATCTGCTGAACACACGGAACACCAACCTAAATACACAATATTTATGTTTTTGATTTACATATTTAGAGTGCAGCTCCAAATGTGTAAATACAACTGATCTAGTATCAAAGGTCAACACACAGCAGCTGCAGCTGAATGATCAGTGACCTTCAGAAGGAATTGACCTCCTCTGTGCTCCGCCCATGGAGTCTTACTGCCACTTAATAATACTTAATGACTCAAATTATCCATGTGAAATGAGTGGCTGCAGTACGGCCTGGGTGAATAAGTAAGCCATTATTTCCTAATAGCACCAAGAATGAAAAATGGTTAGACTAAAGGCCCAGTAGAAATCCAACCATTTCAAATTGTCATCATTTTGGGGGGCCTGAACTCCTGCCAAACCGTAAGGAACACATTTTAGTCACATTTTGGTCAAAACTTTATTCTGGTGTGCAACAGTATAATGTTGTTTCCACTGGTACTGCCAGAAGTACTAACCAGGAACACTAAAAACTGTTTGAATGTGTATAATCCTACTGTCAACAGTCAATGACAAATACCAGGTTCTTACTTTGTCCTACTCCAGATTATATTTTTATTTACAAACACACACTGCATGAATAAAGTTACATGGTCAACTTGATTTTCTAAATATAAACATAGTTTTCCCTGTAATATGGTTTCTAGTAGTAGTGTAAACAAATAGATGTGAGTTTCTTAAACATTCCTGCAACGTTAACTGATTCATGGTTTTACCGTTTCCTCGTTTGAAAGACGATTGGACTGATTGTCCATCTGTTTATCTAGACATGTGTTTGGCACCAGGCCTATTTTCAGCCAGAGTTTGTGTGTAAGTGAATGAAATTCAAATCAATCCTGTTTTGTTTACTCTACATGACGGATCAGAAGACTGGAGTTGGATTTTCCTGGTCTGAAGTTAGCAACCTCCAGATTCTGATCTTTCTGTGAAGTCCTGCGATATTAGCTGTCCACGTTAGCGAGAGAACCACAAACCTTAAAATGGATAAAGAGGAACAGCTTTACTTTTGTTTACTTAAAATCTTAACAAGTGACTCACTGTTTTTAGGCAAAAGAGGCCTTTTGATTGTTCTGAAGTTGGCACCAGTCAAACGGCAAAAAGGCAAATCTATTTCTGCGTGAAATTTGCCTTAAATTAAATTATTGCATCATAAAACAGATTTTTTATTTTTTATTTTTTTGCCCCAGTTTCTGCCAGAGAGGATGGAATATTCTCAGGGCTGGCAGGATGTGTGTCTTCCTCTGGCTAAGCTGACTGTTTATTTTAGTAGTGTTCTGATACTCGCCTAAATGAGACCAGAGTCACATATGATATCTTTGTAGCTGGGCCAGCTTATGCTGTACTGGATCTGATCTGTGTGTAATGTGCATGCATCTGCGCCTCCAGCCTCTGCCTCTGCCTCCCCACCCTCCTCTGAGTGTGCTGTTTGTGTTAGGCCATGTGAGAGAGAGGCAGCAGTGGATTGAATAACTACTAGATCTCCTCTGTGGAATGGACCCCCTCTTATTGAATGGAGCGTTGTCTCTCAGGCCAAGTGCTGGCCTTGATTTGGAGCCAGGAAACCCAACTGTCCCTGTCCATCAGCATGACAAGCAAAGCCAGGGATAAACCCGACGACCTGACAGCGGAGGCACATTAGGGTGTACGGTACATAGGGACTGGATATAGGGTAGGGATGTACATTAGGAACAGGGGGGAGTAGTGAAGGTTGAGTGAGTGCGCTGTAAAAGGTCTGTGAGAGGAGCATAAAAATGTACGGTTTCTCTGAAATAGTGTCTTTATGTGTTGCTGTGATGGACCGGTGACGTCTCCAGGGTTTACCCAAGTCTTTACCCCACATCATCTACACACAAGATTCACTTTAGCCTCCTTAGAAGAATTAATAAGTTGAGCTTGAAAAATAATAAGATCATAGAACATACAGTACATACGGCCAAACTACAGGACACCAAAACACAGCTCTGGACATTGTGGAGTTCAGGATGAGCTTATTCTGCTCTGGCACATGAACCTTCACAGAAATGCCATCTTTCATGCATGGTTTTCGTAGAACCTAAAAGGATGCATGCACGTTAAAGTACTCAATGTGACCACATGCAGCGCTGCAGCTGTAGAACTAAACAAGTAGTATGTTCACGAACTGAAGAAATTTACGCTGCACGATCTGTGGAATTTTACCACAGATTTGTACGATAACATATTGTGCACTACCAACTGCAACTGACAGAAGAGACACAAAAGCAGAACCCAAATAAATGAAGAAAGTGTCAGGTAACTTCACCAAGTCTTAAATCTTTTTGTCGGTCCTGCCTGTTTTATTCCCTGCTTTGGCTTCAAATATTCAGTGCAAAAAGTCTCATATACTTCAGGATAACTGAGCCGGAATGAATAAAAAGTTCAAATTTGAGACGATTACAAGAGAGGAGGTGGGAAAGCATCAGAGCTGGAAAAATAGTTCTGCAAACTTGTTATACTTTGACAGAAAGATAAACCAACAAAAACTAGTAACCACAGTAACAAAACAAAAAAACTCAAAGTGAACATGACATGTTCATAACGATCATAGAGCATAACGACTAGAAAGAGCTGTCCTCATACGGGCAACACTCAGAACTGCTGCTTGAAAATGTGCAGTGCTAATCAAAGCACATTTAAAGCATTCCTTTTTAACCATGTCTCTTTTGGCTCCTCGTCTCGTTCAGCCTCTGGTATATCTTCAAGCAATCATGTTTTTGGCCAAATTTGTCTGTAAAGAGTACAAAACAAAAGCACGGACGTTGATGAATTTTTCAGAAGATGTAGGTTATGACCCGAGGAGAACAGTTACAAGAGTTTGGTGACGGTCCAGGCACTTAAGTGTTACAGACGCTGTGGGAACTGAGCGGCCTTGATACTGATTTGCTTTCACGGCTCTTCTTTTTGTTAAAACGTGTCTTCTTCAGATATTTTCCTGTTGTTCCTGGCCACCATCATGTCTCCAGGGCACTATGAATTGTGGGATAGATTGGGTCAGGGCGGACCCACCTGTCAGACAGAAGGACACAAATGGGACTGCAGGCGAGTCACACTACTGTAATGTAATCAGCCTTCAAATGAACCCTTTGAAGGAGGAGGTGGTACCTGAGATGAAACACAGATACTGTCTGCCTGACTGGAAAAGGGAAAAGAACCTCTGGTTATGGGGATGGATGGATTATGACTGTTCTATTATTTACAGAGAGAACAACAGTGGCTCATCCATTTTTATTGTTAGACAGCCTCTAGTTGTCAACAGGAAGTCTGCATTATCAAACCTATTAGGCAGCTTTCACAGTAGTTTTGGAAGGAATGTAAGTGCGCACCCGTGTGTGTGTGTGTGTGTGTGTGTGTGTGTGTGCATGCTTTTGCGGAACACAGTTCATTTAAAGCTTAAAGAATGATCTGGGTTTCAGTTTGGAATGTTACCAGCAGCCGGAGTAAAGACCCAAAGATCTGGGTGATATGGAACATTTTAGAATATTCAGTTAAAGAAGACAATAGTTCGGCCCAACATCTGTCACCAGAACAACTTGTACATGTTATGGGATCATTTGATGAGACAAGTAAAGCAATAAACAACATTGACGAGATGAAAAGAAATACATTTGTGCAAAAATAATCATTGACTGATCTACATGTTTCACTGATATGTTTCAATGATCAGAAAGGAGGTTCCATCAAAGAAATATATAAATAATACGGACTTCAGTTTTGCCGTCACTGATATTTTTCAGTCAAAATACCCAGGTGTGATTACCCATGGAACCTTTAGTGAATACTTCACAATTTTTTACAGTGTGTTTGTAAGTTGAAGATTTATCTATTTTTAACGTGTCAGACTTTTGGTTGGTGGGGGGGGGGTGTATTTGTAGGGCAAAGTCTCAGTCATTTGTCATACACGGAGTGTGTTATTATCTATAATAGAGGGTCTTTTTACATGTATCAAAATTGCTAAATTTGCCGTATAATTTCCTTAGAAAAATATCCAAAATACCACAATTAAAAAAGCACAAATGTTCATGTTACTTAGTGGAAATTGGAAATTAGTCCCGTTGCCACAGAGGGAAACTTTTTTCCGAAGCTGTGAATCATCACCGAGGAATCACAACATCACACTGCTCCAGAATCATTTAAGATGGAAACACTTTTTCACTCAGTGGCTCCCTGAACTGGTTTACCTCTGTTGACAGTACATTAAGAGCCTCAATTTGTGTCCTTAAATATGCAGGGTAAATATTTAAATCATTAAATGACTCTCGCAGAATTCACCTTGACATTTTTAGTGAGTACATAAAAAATAATTGATTGAGGTTTAAGATTGGCCTAGTTAGTGTTTTAAAAAACAATGCAAAAAACTCCAATGATCATCAGATTCTTAAGTACCTGAACGCAACTCTTGTGACTGCTGCAACTTCAGCTCCTCAAGCTAGCGTGTAACTATCTAGGAAAAAAGCTAGCTACACAGGTTTTTGACAAGAAACAGACCAAAGGAGCAGGCCAACAGTTTGTTATTCAGTGGGAATATACAGTGCTGGAAACATGTTCATTAATACTTTTCCTATGCTGAAGAAAAAATATATTTATTAAATAGTGAATAAAAGTAAGGGAATACACTCCAAAAGTGTATTTTGTAGCACTGTCTGTGGGTTTGCAAATGGTGTCTCCAGCCAGACGCTAGTGCTGTTTGGGGGGTTCCTTGGCATGGAAATGTTTTGGGATTTATGTCATCTCTTCTGAATATAACTTGACTAAAACACTACTAGCTCTTACCTAAAACAGCCCACTGTAGGTGAACACTTCTACAGATAATATTTCCAAATCAGGCAATAATTACACAGCCAGTACTGAAGCGGACAGAATGTCTGGGAGTTTACCGTCTTATCAATGGGAAAAAATGAAAATTAAAACACTGCTGTAGGTGGACCTGGTGATTAATGTGCATTAGTGCTGGCAGGCACTCAGCCAATGGTCATACCTCTCACAGGAGAGAAGCACGATTTGGCCCTAAAAGAAAAACACCGTAAAGCCAGTGAATAATATGATGTGAACACGGCTCTGTGTAGAATTTCTACTAAACCTTTCCTATTTTCCGTTGGAAAACACATTGAAGACTTTTTGTGGAAAAAGTTTGCGATGACTGTCTAACCAGACCTTTATTCAGTTCTACCAGTAAAGGCTACAACACGACCCTACAGTAGGAAGGACTGGGGGAGGAGAGCAGGCACTGGAGTGGGCTTCACAGCAGTTTGGTTCGATCTTCTCTGTATTTGTGTCCATTTTATTTACAGTTGTTTCAGAAAACCCAGTAGACACAAAGTTTATATGGTGTGTTAATATTTGGTTATGTAGATCTTTCTTGTCACCTCTGTGTGACAAGAAAGGCTTTCATGTGCATTTCTCACCGTCTGCTTGGGTAAGCTAAGCTAATTTTATTTTGTGTGCAGGTACAGTTTTTCGGGGGTGGTGGGTTTGAGTAAATTCCTACCTCCCATTCTTTAGATAATGGAACGTTAAAGACTGAAGAGCCTACAGTACAATAAGTGTTAAAGTGTAAAACTACCCCCACTGTCAATGACTCTTTCATCATGTCATGATGTCATCCTCCGACCTCCAGCGTTCCTCCGCAAAGTCTCCTGCCAACAGGACTAAGGTTGTTGGTTTGCTTTTGTTGGTTTGTGAAAATTGCTGTGAAGTATTTAAAGAATATTCACAACAATAGTGAGTCCAACTCTGCTGCCAGGCAAACATATGGTTCTGCACTGCCACATCCTGCTGGGACGGAGATAAACAGGAGGGGGGGGGGGTGCCCAACAGCAGTGAAGAGTACACCTGTATGTCACTACAACAAGGTATTTAAAACTGGACACCAGGTAGGGAACGCAATTACAAAGCATAAAAATAACAATTCACCTTCAGTGAGTACACCAGAACATAAAACATAAAATATGTCTCATCTGAACCAGTTACTAAGTTGGAGTAAAAAAAAAAAAGAAATGAAATAAATGTGCGCTTCCTTTAATAACCTGTCATTCACATTCTTCACAATTTGTTCCAATATCAAGAGTGAAATAAAAGATCAGAATGACTCATCTTTGTGTCTTTGCAATGGGATTATGTATACAGTGCATGTAAAAGGGTATAATAGTTCATCAGTCTTGTGGAAAATGTCATTAAAAAGTCATAGGACCTTTATTTGCAATAAAATGCAGAACGGTCAGATATTTGTAATAAATCACCCAATTTTCTGCACATTTGTCATAAGTGTTAAAGTAGACACGCTGCAATAAATTGTACAGCGCATTTAAGAGGCATGACCAAGGTCTCGTTAATGGCTCGAGAAAATAAATGTAAAAAGACATTTCACCCTAGGAATCCCGCTGTTTTTGGGAACACTGACGTCACCGTCTCCTCGCCTGCTCTCGCAAAGTGCAAACCATTAAAGTCCAATCCACCTAAGCGCTCAGAGCCGTGACCAATAATAACAAACATGTTATTTTCCAATCAGTGTAATTAGTGGTTATTAAAAAGTTCCTTTCACGCTAATGATTGTGTTAATGATTTATGTGGAAGTCAAACAACCGGTGCCAACAAGGCTGTTACCTTAATGGTTTCTCCATTTTCCCTTTTTTTATGTAGCAACGCTCTAAAATCTCTAGTTAGCTGCAGAGGCACACAGTGTTCTCTAAGTCTGTCACTGCCTTCCAGTGTGTGTGTGTGTGTGTGTGTGTGTGTGTGTGTGTCAGACATTTAACCTGAATGAATTGACCTCCTGTGTGATACCACAGACAGGACTGAGATGAGGCCTTGTCTTCATGGGCGCGGTGGTAAACAGGTTGGAAGTCCCTAGACCTCCTGGTGAGGTGGGCAAACGGAGACACCCCCGTCCTCCCCCCTCCGTCCTCCTCCTCTACTCTAACTACCTCACTAAGCCCCCGCTGTCTCCCATCAGTGGGGTAGTACATGCCTAAGCACACACAGGGAACAGGGGTATTTTGTACGACTCACTGATGTCATCACCGTACACATTCAGTAGATGTGAGCCCTTGATTGTTTTCACACAGGGTACATTGTGTAAACACTGGAGCTGGAGCCTGGCAGTGACTGAGACTCACATATTTTTCTGCTTTATCAAATGTTTCTATCAAAGGTCCTTTGACTTGGACAATTTCTTTGGCCAAATCTTTGAGAACCTTTGATTCTTGGTTCTATTGACTTTTTTTTTTATCTGAGAAAATGCCTGGACATAACGTTTTACAGGCTGTGGTTGCAGAATGAACATTTTTAGGTATAACAATGTTAATGGTGACCTGATGACCATCAGTAATAAAATCAGTAATTAAAGGATACAGCTCAGTCAGACTTTTATTTTGGATAATACATTATATCATATCTCCTGTTGTAATAAACAAAATAATCTGGGGAAAAAAACAGTGAAATACTCATATTGACATCAACCAAGCTCCGAACAAACAGCTGGGCTCAAACACCCAGGGGAAATGAGGGAAATCCTTCTTTTCAAGTATAAAACAACAATGCTGATCTACGAGTTCATTCTCACCGTGGAAACTGGAAGATCAAAAATACCTGTCACCTGAGTTTACAGACCTGGAGAGTGTGGCTGTTGTGGACAGACTTCTAATGTTCAATGGATTTCATGATCTATACCATGTAGAATTTATCACACTTTAAATGAAAGAAAGAAAAGGGGAACAATCACTTTTTCCATTCTCTCATTACGTTGACCTCAGCTCTGGTTGAACCGGGTGACCGTGCTGTAATGCTGTCGTACAACAGCGGAGCTGAAACCTTCGGGACGTTTGCTGGGCCTCAGAGAGGGCAGGCGTGGATTATGGTCGGGGCTCATTTTCAAAGAGCTGCAATAAACATAAACACACAATAATCCCTGTTTATCTTGTGCAGCGGGGCTGAGAGTGAAGTTTTGTTTTTATGAAGGGCTAATGTTTAAGGGTCATTTTTTCGTTTTCTTTGGTTATTATTGAATTTACTTAAATATCTTCTTCTACAGTTTCTTCTACAGTTCTCTTCAAATCTAGATTTTTCTTTTTGTTAGTTTTTGCTATTGTAGCTAACACTAAGGTGTATTTTGGTTTTCTGTGAGCTGTTTATGACTTACTTTTGTGCCACGTTTAAATTAACTTGAACATTTTTGGACAAATGAGTTCCTCCAGCTTAATTACCTTGCAATTATAATAAAGGTATCACTCAATTTGCTACTGTTTTGAATTTCTTCTATAATATTGGGTACAGAGTTTCTGTTTTCCTTATATTTATGTTTTCTTTGTTTTGTTTTTTTATACTGGCACAGAATTGTAAAAATTCTCCATATGTTTCTTAAAATGAACCAGAGTTAGGTTTACTCATTGGTTGAATATATATTTCATTTTGTTGGCTGTCAAGTGTAACAAGGCCAATAACCAGAACTGAGTTGTCCAAAGGGCTCATGTGAACTGCTCATGTATGCATAGAGGGCGCTGAGAATCACATGTGACCCAGAATACATCCCTACACCAAGGTAGACTCTCTGGCTTGAGCTAAAAATAAATAAAAAGTAACAAAAGGTGATGACTGCTGTGGCTCTGAAACTGACAATGCATTTGTGTTGAAAGCTGACAACATTGATTGCTCAAAAACAGTTGCCAACATTGCCAGCTGTTAATTGCCAGTGACGACATCACCGTATGCGTGCACTTCGTGCTGCGTGTGTTTTATTCGTCTTTATTAGATTATACGTGTCCCAGCTCTACGGTTAATCTCTGCCTGACTGCAAAAACCTCACTCCCCGCTGTAAACCCACACACTGCTGCAAAAAAACCAGTTGGCTCTATCAAGGTAAATGGTATTTCTTGGACCATGCGCTGTTCCCAGAATCACAATGTCATACTTTCCACAAGTGGTATTCAGTCAAAGTGACAGTTCTGGCAGCAGAGGCTTCTGTTTACCTCATGAGGCAGAGCGCATAACAGTGGGAGGGAATATAGTGAGAGTTAGATAGATAATAATAATAATAACAGAGGAGGAGGAGGAGACGTGAGGACAAGGTGAGAAACGTTTCTGTAGAGAACTTTGTTTTTGTTCTTGTGTCTTTAGGTGTACTCAAACAAAAACAAAAAAACAGAAACCTTTGACTTATTCAGCCAAATGCAATATTTAACAGATAAAGGCAAACAGGAACATTGGAGTATTGAGTTTACAAACTGTCAAAATAGACTAAATACACAGGGGAGGTTGAGAAAATTGGACACAGGTGAAATGCATCAGAATGGAGTAGGCAAAACAAGGAGGGAACCAGGAGACAGAGACAGGAAGTTTGACATGCAAAGGCATAGGGAAGTAGTTTCAAAATAAAAGGGGAACCAACTCAGTTTTCTCAGAATGTATAGCTGCTGCACTTAAGGATGAGGATTATATGTTAAAGCACTGCAATGAACAAATTAATACTAGTCCTGTTTATATGGTACACAGTTCAATGGTCTGTGTTTAAATGTCAGCTTTTTTAGTCATGATTACAGCAGCAATATCTCTTTACTACATCCTTAACACCGATGCAGGTTGTTCGGGGTAGTTTGTGTTGAAAGTACAGGCTGACCAATCCCTGTGCAGTAAACCTTTCAAATTCAACAACTACATTGAAGTTTCACAATGGCTTAAGGTCATCATACATAAGGACATGGACTTGAGGGTCACAGCCCATCAGTTAACCACTGTGGACAAAATCCCAGAATAATCTGACCCTGACAAAATGATGATAGTATTAAGATCCAAGTCACAGATTATTGGTGAACATTAAACCAGTGGAAACAGCTTTACCTTACGCTTCATCAGTTATCATGACTAACCAAAAGATCATTTTCCTACATAAAGTGGGAAAGTGGTCACCAACCCATTCACTTTCCACATTAAATGCATCTTGCAAAGATACAGGGACTCTTCAGGCTTGCCTGAACTTCAGTCAGAAGTATTAGCTATAACTACAGTAATTCTTTTAAACTAAACCAAAAGCTGGTCTCACTTCTACAGTAAAACTTCCCTTATTTTAATGTTTTATCTGTCCTTTGACTGTCATCGATAGTTCCACTCAAATAAAGGCCACAGATCATTCCAAAGGATGTCCAGGCGTCCAAAGTCAACTCAAGTAGAACCTGTGCCATGCACAGTGATGGGACAACCAGCTCTCTTCACCATTATTTTCCAAAAATACTCTTTGGAAGTTGGCAAGAGCGGTCCACAGCTTTGAAAACAGTGCATTCCCTTTCTTTGCTGTGTAACTGGAAACAATGTGAAGCAGGACCCACTACAGAAGCTGTGTGTTATAGTTGAATCAGTGGCCTGGAAAATGCAGGTGCTTCCCCAGAACCCAGGGGAGACACATTTACCACAAATACTGGTCTAGGAGGATTTTCCTCTACCCCACATCTGACCTCAGCTAATAGGCAAAACATTTCTTGGACCAATTTTGCAAGGTGAAAACCACCAACCTTGACCTCATGCAGCAGCAGTCGGATGTCTTCCTCAATGGCAGCAATGTTCGTGGCAGTGGTGTGTGGGTAATGGGGATTTCTGCAAAAGACACAGAGAGAGTCTAGTTACGATTTTTTTTTAAATACATAGCATCATTAATTTCCTATTTTATTTTGGTGACAGGGTTTACTATTTAATTGGGCCAATTTTGTAATAGTAAACTGGGCGCAATCATGTGCTCCCCCTGTTGACCTACGTATGACATGTATGCTTCTAATTTTCTCTGAAAAAGAAAGAATGGGGAATATATCCGTCCACATCAAAGTCAAGCTTGTGAATAAAATGCTGC